TGCTGTATTTTTGGAAAGCAGAGTTAATGTGGTAGTCCAGTTGAAATTCTTTAGGCTTTTGAAGGGAAGAACAGTTTTACTGGAGAGAGAGGTTTATTTGTTTTCTGACTAAGGAATTTGCATACCACATGCTTGAGCTTTGCATCATGCACATGAATGCTTACCTCCAAAAAATATGTTTTTCTTCCTTTGGAGGTTTTTTTGTTTGTTTTTTTGTTTGTTTGTTTTAATTATTATTGTAGAGGAAGACAAGCTGTGAAGGTTGCTTACTTTAATGATTGTTGCAGTTAAGCGGGAAAAAAAGAATGATACTTCATACCTTATAATCCTTCAGCATCCATACAAATCTGCAGTCCACTGCTGCCTTGCATGAGAGTTTACAGTTTAGGTTCCTGTTGGTGTTACCTGCTGCTTTGCATTACCTTTGTTTAGATAGAAACTTTATATTTAAGAGACCCGTGATCTTTTCAGGTCAATTACAGGCAGTGATTTACATTTGTGATCCAACTCTTCACTGCTCATCAGCCTTACCTAGAGTAAGGACTTAAATGCTGTGCCTAGTAGCTTCACAAAGCTTCCACCTTGTTGTGAGTGGCTGTTGACCACATTTAATAAGAAAACTGGAGGCTGGTATTGTTGTGTCCTACCTGTATTTCCTGCTTCATTCTGTGATTCCTTGTATTATTATCACTGCCTGTTTAAAAATAAAATGTTTAAATTGGTGGCTATAGTATTCTGATTTTGATAGAGCGCAGCTCTGGGAGAGAGAGTTTTTCTCTTTACATTAAATGAATTTTTCTTTCAAACTTTTTCCAGCAGTTTTCTCAGGTTGGCAGTTTTTAACTATTGTAACATGTGAGTAATGTAATTAGCCATTGCTGATTTAACTGTTAATTAATTATGCCAACTGGTACTCAATCAAGTATTCAAGCATGCAAAGGAAATAATTCTTACTTATAGTCAAGCCAAAGCTATGGAGTATATATCTGTATCTCAGGAATATTAGTTACTATTTGCACTCATTTCAATTTCAATGATAGGGACAGGTCCACCATTTATTACTGTGGTCAGTTTCAAAAAAGATGAATCACTAAATACTTCCAACAAAAATGAATAACCTCCCTGCCTATGTGGATTACTCTTTGAAGTTGAACATAGTAAGGTGATTCTTTTTTTCTTTAAATTCTTTAGAGACACAATTGGTTTTTTGGGTTTTTTTTTTTTTTTTAATGTTTGTTTCTTTAGCGAACATCATTTTGAGTTTCACTCACGCAGGAGCTGTGATTTGTTTACTGTGTTTCTGGTTGTCAACATTCGTTTCAACCACTCTACATTGGATTTCAGTGTTAACAAAGAAGTGTGAGATTTGCTAGAAATATGAAGGCATCATAGATCTTCATCTTTGCAATTGTCTCTCTCTTTTGAATCCTAAACAGAAAATGGTTTGATAGATGGGTTGCAACTTGCTTCTGGCCCCATACTGCCAGGGAAAAGGGAAACAAAACCAGATATGCATGAATTAAGCCTAATTGTTCGTGCATTTAATTCTACTAACAATAATACCAAATGAGTGGAAGTATGTACTTACACTCACGTTGTAAACAATTCCAAGGTAAAATTGGAAACATTGAGCACAAATACTTCCTAAGCAAAAATCTTTAAAAAAATTAGTAATATCTCTTAATGAGTTTTAGCTTGCTTACCATTTAGTATTTGCATGTGACCACATAGGACTGATGCAGTGAGCTGTCAGCCTTGGCTGTTTCACTGTCAGCTCTCATAATTTATTCTGATCCTTCTTCCCTCCAGCATGTATCCTGCTAGTTGCCAGGCAACTGTAAGTGATTTTTTTACTGCGCATGCAGTAGTTCTGCAAGTTGTTATTTTTTTCTAATTGTAAAAGTGAGGATGGGGATTGAAATCTGAACATTACTTTAATAATGATTAATTATTAATAATTTGCTCCATTTGTACGACTAACACAGACCGTGACTGTCAGAAAGTGTCAGATGATTTTTCAATATAGGCAAAGAGCAGAAGATAACAGTCCTTGTGAGAGGAGATTTTATAAAAATGGTACAACAGAATAAGCTGTTATTGATCTGCGTAGACAAGATCATGCATTCCTTTTCTGTCTGTTGCATATTTCATGCCCTTTTTTGTTTTTTTTTCCTTTTTTTTTTTTTTTTTTTTCATGACCTGAAGTGATTCTCAGTAATTAATTACATCAAGCAAAAGCTGGAAGGTTTTCTGTGGCATTCTTAGTTTAATAGACTGTGTGAGCAAGCTGCAGTTGGCTAGATTTATACCTTGAAAATAGACTATTGCTGTGTAACAGCTTACTACTGTTATATTTTTCAAGCAATACAATATAAGGGTGTGTGCAAGTATGAAGAAAGGGGGGGGGAAGAATTTTGGAGCTATTGAATAAAAGGCTGTGTAATTATAGGAAACTGTTTAAATAGTGCAAATATACATAATCTATTTCAGAATCTGATAAAAATTAGGATATTATTAGTAGCTGTTCGTACTTAAATAATATTGTTAGACTCTGAAATGTATGAATGAAATGAAGCAACATCTGCTTCGGTGGTTTTCTATTTCTTCTCAAATAGATGTCTTTGTTAGAAGGAAGCTGCTGAAGTTCAAAATACAGCAGTGATAACTCAGTATTTGCATGCCAAATCCAAATCAGCACTGTATAAAGTTTTGAAAGCAACTATGTATTTTATAAATTGTGTAGTGTGTTCTTGAAACATTGCTCTTAGTAGTCTGAGATGAAGACAGATTCTGTTATCTGATGTGACATTGTTACTCACAAACATCATTAACAGGATCAGTAACTTCAAATGTAGTATAAATGACTACCACTTCAGCAGGAGAAGTATTAAATTAATGAATTTGACTCTTTATTGTAATTCACTGCTGAAGGAGATATGAAGATACAATGGCCTGAGAGCATCACAGTTATTTTCTGTCAGGAGAGAAATGGTAAAATCTGGGATGACAATTTTGTTGTCATTTTTTCATTTTGTGTATTTCGGTAAGAGAGAGAGTCCCAAATGAACTAGATTTATTTGGGAATGTTGGATTACGTGATCTCCAGAGGTCCATTCTGGTCCCTATAGTTCTGTGATCTGTTGGCTAAGGTTGCTAGTAAACTGTCTGGAGTATTGTGTGAGGTGCAAATGGTCTGTCAGGTTGTCTATACCAGTATTTGTGTAGTGTATATAGGCTTAACTCTTACCTTGATGATGTAGTGGCACAGTACACCTTCTTATCTCACTGTGCAGCTGCAGCACCAAGAAGTATGATTTTGTACGTGCCATAATCTTTCAGAAACAGCCAGGGGGCTGGAGTCTGGCATTTACTGTAAGCAGACAAGGTAACAGGTTCTGCGGCTGCAAATCAGAAAAAATGATGATGAGGTAGGGGCATATACAGTTAACATTGCATAGAACAGTATTCCAGATGCAAGTTGTCCCTAAGGATATCAGTTGGATGACATTGATTAGCAAGCTATGATTAGAACTTTAATATTATTGTCTCTCTAATGCAGAGTATATAATGAGCAAAAGCATTCTGAGAACAGTAGGAGATCTTGGATTAGGTGAGCAACAGCTGCTTAGGAAATGTTCTGTTCATTCTTATTCATTGATCTCTCAGATTCCCAAAGCAAGTTTGTGCCTCTAAAAATTCTAGTAATAGATGAGACATTAGATGTGATAATGATGTGATAAGCAGGCATTCATAAATTTCACAAAGGACAAAGCTGTTCTGTACTTCTCACCATCCTTATCTTCTGTAGCAGAATTGCCTCAATTAACCTTTGATCCAGTATCAATTTAACATGACTGTTAATATCCCATGCTGTTATGGATGATGGCTGCGAGATTGAAGCTGAGATGGAGACTGAGACTAGGCAGCAGCCTTCTCCTTGCTCAATTCCTATGAATGTTTTGCATGTTAAGTTACCATCCAATTCCTCCTCTCACAGGGCTGTGAGAGAGAGAAGTATGTGAACAGAGCCAGGAAATGGCATGTGAATGCTCTGTGCAATGAGTTGCAGTTCTTCTCAGCAGAGATTTTTTTCCACTATTTTGATGTGAGATTCAAAAAGAAAAAAACAAACAAACACAACCTTACACTTGTAAGTGCCATCAATACCTTTAATCTCCAAATATCTTGCAGTCATCTATTGTATATATATACATATATAAGTAGCTGAAGAGCTACATGTGGGAAAATTTTAATAAATAAATAAACAAACCAGAGGGTTAACAATGGTAAGTCTGCAAACTTTAGTAGTTCTGGACACCTTCAAATAATATGACATGGTCCTGGAGAAACAGATGATTGTAAATAACCTATCACATTATTTCAGATAATTGAAGAAGTACAAATCACAGTAAGGATTTTCAGTACCGTCAGAATGATCTTTCCAGGATCCTAACACTCATTAATGGAAGTTAATAATGTATCTAGTTGTTCTGATGGCAATCAGTGTCTGGTATAATCAAAGTCAACATGAACAAATGGTGCAGTGTGACCAGGAGATATGAAAGCAACTATAAAATGACTGAGGAACATAAACTTAGAGTGACAGGAGGGGGGCATGCTAGGAATTACGAAAAAAAGGTTAGAAAAGGGTAAGACTGCACTTGTCAAAGCACTACAGTATTCCTATTAAAGTCCTGATCCTGCTTTCATGAAGTTCCATGACGCTTCTGATCCTCTAATGGTGGTGATATTTTAGGACAGAGCAGAAAGATTTGTATTAAATTGTAAATCAATTATCTGTATCAATTTATTAAAATAATAATGAGATTAAAATAATTAAGAGATCACTTTCTAGTTCTTTGAAAGAAGAGGGGTTGGGGTTGTATTTTTGTTGTTGTTGTTTGTTAATCTGTTTTTCAATGATTTGATTGTATGACCTGTGTGTGTGAGGAAGTTGTAATAATTCTTGGCTTTGTGTTTGGGTTTGTTTTCTTCAACAGCTCTGGACGGCAGCTAAGTGAAGTCTTCATTCAGCTCCCATCGAGAAAAGAACTACCAGAATATTATGAATTGATTAGGAAACCAGTGGATTTCAAAAAAATTAAGGTAAGAACATTTTTGGAAGTGGAGATTCTTATATTTCTTTTTGTTAGACACTGATGAGTATGAAGTCAGTATATAAATGACCGCAATATGCATATTGAATCTACCTCTGTGTTTTGGATGTTAAACGTTATCACATCTCTTGTTATGAATTTTATTTCTTTTGTATCACAGCATATTACCTTAATTTCAAAGTTAAATAAGAATGCAGCAGTTACATGAATGACACTTTCAGAGATGATGTAGAACCATAGAATCAAAAAATGGCCTGGGTTTAAAAGAACCATAATGACCATCAAGCTTCAAACCCCCTGCTATGTGCAGGGTCACCAACCACCAGACCAGGCTGCTCAGAGCCACATCCAGCCTGGCCTTGAATGCCTCTAGGGATGGGGCATCCACAACCTCCTTGGGCAACCTGTTCTAGTGGGCATCTCAGTCTGGTTTTTGTAAAGAACCAATAAAGAGCCATATAAAGAAATCTTTATCTTGAAAACTCTTGTAGAAGAATATAGTAATCCCTAAACTAACATCCAAGCAGTTTGTCAGGTGGGTTTTAGGCAACTTGTTGCACACTAGATGATGCAACTGTAATGCTGTTCATATTGTAGCATATTGTATGTCCATGCAGAAGAGAAGAAATTGAAATTTCTTTTACCAGAAGAACTCAAATTTGTAGCTTTTGGCCCTTCCACTCTACACAGCAATTGCATGTTCTTTATACCTATTACCCAATTGTGATTTTTTTAGTATTACATTAATGATACGTTTTATTGTTCCTTTCTTTCTTTTAAATAGGCCCCTGTTTTGATGCTTAAGTAGAATTTTTAAAAATAATGTTTTTTCAAAGATTAATTCTATATCTACTGGTTTTGTTTGTTTGTTTGTTTGTTTGTTTGTTGTTTTTTTTTCCTGCATCACTGCCTCTCCGTTCTTCTCGTTTTCCTCAACAAATGCAACAGGAAAGGATTCGCAACCATAAATACCGGAGTCTTGGGGATTTGGAGAAGGATGTCATGTTGCTGTGTCATAATGCTCAGACATTCAATCTGGAGGGATCACAGGTCTGACCAAACTAATATTACGCATACAGATTTTCCCTTCCTGGTACTTTTAGTTCTTAACTGATTATTATACTACGCCTATAAATGCTGTATTTTAATTCTTATTTTAAGTGGAGGAAAATGACAGATTGTTAGAATTACCCAAAGCTCTCTGGTCACAGCTGAAGTGGGAGCATGCAGAGAATTTGGTTTTGAGTCAAGTTCTGAGATCAGCTTGTTTTGATCTGTCCTGTAGTTCCCAGCTATTGTAGGAACATTGGAATCTCTGCTGGATCCCTGTTTATGTAGTTATACATTGGTTTGTGCTGCCAGATTGAATGGCAGAAGGAGCAGGTAGAATTGTATAGCTAATTCCAGTTGTAGAGGAAGTACTTAGCAGTGAACTCTCCAACTCTGCTACTGCAAGATAGAAATTCAAGATCCAGATGTGAAGTTTGTGTATGAGATTTTATATTCTCTTTACCGTCAGACTGATCTTTCTTTGAAAGATCTATATCCGTTTTGAAACTTAGTAATAATTAATTCCAGTTGAGTCTCAGAAGTTTACAAAGCAAAATCTCTAACCTCAAATGTTATAAAGGTACAATTGTGCAAGGTACGATTGTGCTCAGTCTTGTAAAATAGGAACAAAGGACGCTGATGCAAAATGAGAGACTACAAAATGGGAAAATTGTCACACGACGTAGTGAAATGTAGCATAAGATACATATTTTTGCAGAGGAGTCTAAATTGTGTGCTACAAATACAGTATTAAATTGAAGAAAGGACCTGAAAACCAGTTCAATAATCTGAAAGAGAAAAAAAAAAAATTCCTTTCAGGAAGCCTAGGTAAATTTAGCTGGAGGTTTCGTGTGGCCAGTATTAATGCATCATCTGAATAACTATATGCTATTGATAACCCTTTGCTAAACAGGTGAATGTATGTGAAAAACTGAGATGCAACATTGAAACATGCAATTAGATACAGGATTGATGAATACAACTGGTCATTTTGTATTTATTTTTCTTACATAGAGACAGAAAATGCTTTCTGTGTCATATACACGTGTGATATTTTCACTATGTTAAATTATACAGAAACAGCCTGTAAACATATCTACTAAAATTATTTTAATAGAAATAGTGATGACTCAAATTGTGGAAGAGAGCCTTTACTAAATGTCCAAAAGTAAATTACCAGTTTGCTACTTAGTCAAGTAGCAGTAAACTAGCTGTGAATTAAAAAAACAAAGATAAACCTACCCAAGAAGTACCACTAAAATTGTTGGAGGGGGAGCATGACAGTAGTTAAAAAGGGAAAAGTAAAAATCAGTAGCTATGTGAAAAAAATAATTATGCTGATGAGAATGGCATGAGTTGCTAATCTGGAACTGGTCTCTTGTTATGTGGAGTGATAGATTTGACAGGAACACTCTTGAATGAGTATAAGCATTCAAGATGTTGTTACTCTGTTTGGAAATAGTTCAACCAGCTTCAGAGTTTTTCTCCATGCTAGCATACAAATATTAATTACCAGAATTAATTACTTTTTTATTGTATAAATCCTAAACAATCTGTGTCTAAGTTTTGGTTGTTGCTGTTGTTGATTTGTTTTGTTTGTTTAAGTTTCTGTGCTATATTCCTGTAACTTACTTTTTATTTCTAGTGAATTGTGGGACATTTTTCCAGTGGTCCTCCAGTTTTTAAGGTCCTTATATTTGTTGTGATAGTTTAGTTCTACCTTTGCTGTGACGTACCAGTTTACTCGAGTAAACTGGATTATTGTGCGCACACCCAAAACAAAAAGGCTACTTTAAACAGAGCTGTTCAGGTACACAGCAACATCAAGTGAAATTCTGCATGTTTGTTTTGCTAGTGTTAGTGCATATTTCTTTTCCTTGAAGCCAAAGAGTTCCATTTGAGCCAAAATCTTAGGAGAGGTTTTCAGAGACAGACAGACTTGTTTTTTGAGGCTTTTGTGCTCAGTGAAACCTCAGCAGTTTCAAAAGTTTTTAACATTGTAAGGGTCAAATGAAAAACAGACATGTAAGAAGTTAAAACAATGCATGTCTTTTGAAACAGAAAAAAATTTGTCATAAAAATTTGCGGTATTTTAAGTTTCTTTGTCACTGTTTTTCTCATTTTGAAGGAAGTTCTGCTGTTATTGCTGTTCCATTTATGATTCTTATTGGAATCAGTTTTATTGTCAAAGTAAGAAAACTTTCTATTTTCTGAATGAAGCTCTAAATCTTTCCTGAGTCATAATAGCCAGTGAGCATCTACAAAGAATTCTGTATTTAGAAAGATAATCTTTTTTTAAAACCCCTTTATTTTTTCTATGACATTCTGTTAAAAAGTCTAGATCACAGTGAGATCTTAAAATATGTAATGGCTGGAGTTCAAAATACCATCTTGTGCTCTTCTTTAATTCTTGTTGTCTTAGAAATGTGTTTTCTCTAAGAAAAGATTGCAAGGCTATTGAAAGGCAACCCTAAGAACAATATGCTGGGCCTATGGGAAAGAAAAGGAAATATGTTCAAGAGAAATTCAGAGTCTTCTAGGGGCCGGAAACTTTAAAAATTTTAGGTGTAAGAGAGTGTCGGTAATGATTACTCTTGGAGGAAAAAAAACACTCTGGGATCTAAAATCCCAGTAGTGGCACAAGACAAAAGGAAAAGAAGAGCCATTACAAAACAATCATCATCATTATGTATCTTGGGTGTCAGGTAACACTTGGCCCATATTTACAAGCCATCTTAACATCTCCTAACAAAAGTCACTGGAGTATTTATGGAATAGGAAACAGGGTACTAACTGCACTGAAAGTCACTTTTTATGAAAGGTACTTGGAAATAAACTGTAAAAAAAGATTGTGTATTTCATATGAAGTATTCTGAACCAAGTTTTTCTAATTCTTTCTGAACCTGCAAAGTATGAGAGTGGTTTTATCAGTTTTAATGCGCAGCTTGTATAATGACAGCCAAAAATCTTCCCATTTTTCTCACAAATAGACAGTGTTCCTTTATACAAGAAAATATTTTGTTTAGCTGAAGGAGAAAGTGAGGATGAGGAAATCAAATACAGTTTGTGACCCTTTACTATTGCATATATAACTATTCTTAATTATCCAGTGCTTTGTCTTCTTGAAAAGCAAAATAGACAAGCTCCTATGTTAGGATGATTCTGAAGTCCTAGTTATTTAGGGAGACTATGATATCTCTGTTATGTTAATCTGAGAAATGCATTAAAAGCCAGGTGTGGCCTTCTCGTATATAGATGCTTGATGTTGAAGTGAAAATCTGGTATGACAGAAGTGCTCAGCAAGTTAGCCTGTGTTTAAGGAAATATGTTAAGTTTGGGACAGGCACTGATTTTCCAGCCTTTTGAGATCTGCAAAAAAGGATGGGATGCTAGGGATAAATAAATTTCTTTGCAGCTGGTTTGGGCTTTTGGAGAAGCTAATGATAACTAACATAAAAGCTAGTCATTTGTTGCTGTAAATACTGTACTTTAATCCAGTTTTATAATTGAGGTGCTTACTGCTGAAGGTTGTCATGTTGGGAGGTTTTCAACACTTAAAATGTAATGAAAATGTGAAAAAGCCCTTGTGGTAATAGAAACAATAAAGGAAAGCATTTAATTGGACAAACAATTGGACATTTAAAACAAGATATTTTAAGACACTCTTTTTGTGACAAATTTATTCATCTTTATTGACAACTTTTTTTATTCAGAAAATAAAAAGTCAGTGTTGATATTTCTTGTAAAATTCATGCAACATCAACTGTTACTTATAATTTTAAAAGACCATATAGTCCATAGGTTTCCAACAGAAATAAAGGTGTGCAGTATGATTTCCTTTCATGCTGCTTGATTTTACAGCTCTGACTTAGGTTTGTATTCACATTGTAGATCTATGAGGATTCCATTGTTCTTCAGTCCGTGTTCAAAAGTGCTCGACAGAAGATTGCCAAAGAAGAAGAAAGTGAGGATGAAAGCAATGATGATGAAGATGATGATGATGAAGAGGAGTCAGAGTCAGAATGTGAGTCCCGTCTAAACAAGGAAAATGTGGGGGGTTATTAGTTGTTCTGATTTCTGCTGTTAGATTGAGTTTTCTGTGGAGGAAGATAACTTCTTACCAAGTTTACTGCATTCCACTTGTCTTTTTTTTATTTTTCTTCTGGCTGTCTATTTCTAAGAGTTTAGTACTTTCAAACAACAGAAGAGTTATGTGGGAATGGAGGGCGACTAAGATGATCAGGGGGCTGGAGCACCTCCCCTATGAGGACAGGCTGAGGGATTGGGCTTGTTCAGCCTGGAGAAGGCTGCGGGGTGACCTCATTGCAGCCTATCAATACCTGAAGGGAACCTACACCCAGGACAGGAGTAAACTCTTCAAAAGGGCTGACAACAGCAGGACTAGGGGAAATGGATCGAAGTTGAAGGAGGGAAGATTTAGGTTGGATGTTAGGGGGAAGTTCTATACAAGGAGAGTGGTTAGGCCCTGGAACGGGCTGCCCAGGGAGGTTGTGGATGCCCCGTCCTTGGATGTGTTTAAGGCCAGGTTGGACGGGGTCCTGGGCAACCTGATCTGAATGTGTGTGTTTGGTGGCCCTGCTAGGCAGGGGGGTTGGAACTACATGATCCTTGAGGTCCCTTCCAACCCGGGTGATTCTGTGATTCTGTGATTCTGTGACTGGCTATGACTGTTGATAAACCCATTTTGTCCTATTCACACTGTTTGCAAGTAAAAGTACTAGAAAGGCCAAGTATAGTTTTGATCCATGAGTCATCAGACTTTCAGGCATGATGCAACATGAAATTCATCACCTAGTTAAAATGATAGTGCAAGTATTCTTCAGTGGGACAAGGACAAATTGAAACTCAGATTGCTTCAGAAGCAGGAGGTGACACCCATTCTTCTAAGAGCCAAGTTATGGGATAGGACAGAGCTGGACAGAAAGTTCAGCAGGTATTCAGCGCGCGATGCAGGAAAATCTGGAGCATGTATTCCAAGAAGGAGAGTGACTTCTAAACCCCTGTTGAAATATTCTGCCAGTATGTTCTCCCTTGGTTGAAATTATTTGTCTTTTCCATTTCGAAATCTAATCTGGTGCCTGTATGCTGTTCCACCAATTAACTAATGTATTACAAGCGTCCTAGCATACTGATGGCCAAAATGGAGCAAGGATTGACCATACAAAAGACCTTTCTCCATACAGCCTTTCAGTTCTCCTTGTTGATTTGTGTTTCTTTGGTGGAGGCATAATCACCATACTTGATGTTCCTGCAGATTCAGAAATGTAATATAGTAGAAATGGAGGCATCTGTTCATTCCACTTTGTGCCACACAGTATCTGTACTCTTCAGCTGCCCCTTCTGTATGGTTACAGAAACATTAGAAGTTTGCCCTGAACTGTTCTTAGAAAAACAAGTAGCTCTGTAGAACATACTGTTTCAGAAGTTCATTTGGAAATCAAGCACTTCATATGTTCTTCTGAAAGGTGTTTGTTCCAGGTTTGCCAGTTAGCTCCATTTAGCATTCCTGTAGTTTTAAAATGACACAATTTTCTGCTTGTACAAAGAATAAACTTGTCTATATAGAGGTAAGGAAGTGTTTTTAGGTTTGCATCTTCTTATAGAACCAGGTACTACCTGCTGAACATGAAAAAGAAGAGGTATAATGGTTAAGTTACACTCCATAGCTTAATACAATATTGCTGCAACAATCAAGAAGTAGAAAAGTAAAAGCAAGTATTCTGGTTAATGGTTCCATGGTCCAGACAAAGAACAGGGGGAGTATCTTTTGCTGCCACCAGGTGAAAATTCCTAAAAACAGAGACAGCATTTAGAAGTTGATAGGTGATCTTCAGCAGTTTGTTTTATTCACACTCATGTACACGTTACATTTTCTGCAGCAAAATCTGTGAAAGTCAAAATCAAGCTGACTAAAAAGGATGAAAAAAGTCGGGAGAAAGGAAAGGGCAAGAAGAGGCAAAGCCGAGCAAAAGCCAAACCTGTTGTGAGTGATGATGATAGTGATGAGGATCAAGATGAAAATGTAAGTTTTGTTCACTGAGACTGTGGAAGTGGTTAAAGTGATTGCGTCTCTACCCTGTCCTGCTTGCTGTCAGAATTCCCACTTATTCATGCTTAAGCACATATTTAATCTGTATTCATCATCTTAAGAGGATTTGGCAAGGGTATTAACTGTGTCTGGGTGTGTTTAGGAGATCTGGTCCCAGTGCTGAAAGACAAGAAGTCTGGAGCTTATTTCTTGGAGCTGTTCCTACCTTCTTAGAACCTTAAACCTTGTGAATTGTTTGCTTTCATCCCCAAATGAAAAATTCTTAGCTTGATTTTTTTTTGGTACTAGAGTTGCTTCTATAAATACAACAAATGAAAAACGAACTCTTCCCAGTTGTTATTAAACATCTGGATAGGTAGAAGTACTTGATCTTTCCTTACTTGGTGTCTTTTCCTCTCTAAGGAAGTCTGCAGCAACTGTCTTGAAAGAGAAATATTAGATAACTGTATTTCTTAAGTCTACTTTGATGTGTCAATTTATTTGTCATCTTTCTTCCCTTTTCTTTCTTTTTTTCTTCTTTAACAAATTCCACAGAATAGCTGGCAAAGAATTTCTGACTTGTCTTGTGTCTCTTACCTCTAGGACCAGTCGGAAGCAAGCGGAAGTGATGATGAGTGATCCATAGGGTTTATTTTCTTGGCAGAACTGACCCCTTCCCCTTCTCTTCTCCCTTCTCCTATTTTATGCCCAGTGAATTCATTTTGTCAAATAGACATTGGGTTGTTTCTGTATTCTCTTCTCTATAAATTAGCTTTAGGATAGTGCCAGACAAACATATGATATCATGGTGTAAAAAAAAAAAAAAAAAAAAAAAAAAAAAAAAAAAAATTTTTTAAAAAAAGCGAAAAAAAATTTTAAAAAAAAAAAAAAAAAAAAAAAAAAAAAACAAAAAAAACAACAAAAAAACAACAAAAAAAAGCTTTTGATGGAAAATGTGGGTTAGTAGTATATTTCTATGGGCTGGGTTTAGCTTGTTAATGGTTTGGTTTTGCCTGGTTTTATCATTTGATAAGAAGTTTTTAAGTGGCATCAGAAAGACAAAAAAAAAGTCTTTTGTAGCATTGATAACCAGGAGAAGCCGTTAAAAGTCACTGGTTATTTTATTGTTCATCAGGCAGTTTTTGAGGTTTTTATTTCTTCTGTATTGTGTTTCTTTTTTTTTTTTTTTTTTTTTTTTACACTGTGGTACATATATGCAACTTTGTTTAATAGCTTATATTTGTACAGTAGTTAGCCTTCATCCATTTCGTCCCATTTATGTTTTTCCACTTATGCTTGATGATCTTCAGAAAAATGCTTTTTGAATTGTATCAAATTTATGTCTACTGTAAACTTTGCTTAACTTTTTTCTCCTTGATTAAAAAAGTTGGGTTGAAAAATGCTATTGAATATTGCAATCTATATAGTGTAATGGATGGCTTCTTTCATCAGACTGATCTTCTATGTTACCAATGTGGATTATCACCTTTTCCCTAAAGTGTACTTAATCTTTGCTTTCTTTGCACAATGTCTTTGGTTGCAAGTCATAAGCCTGAGGCAAATAAAATTCCAGTAATTTTGAAGACCACGGTGTTGGTGCTTTCTTAATAAAGAGATAATCTTGCTCAATAGATACAGCCGTGTGCTAATGAGTTCCACAAAAGCCTTCCTATAGTAGGGATGAGAGTGCAGGAGGGTTGCCTGTAGAGAGGTCCAATGTGGCCTCTCCTGAACATGTTAAATTGAAAACTCATTCTGATACTATGGAATTGTCCACAGAGACAAAGCATTTGATGCATACCAAAATAAAAATAAAGCTAAAGTAGTGAAATGTTAATTGAATTGTAATTCATTACCTAATTACAATTCAAGCAATTAAGCAATAAATTAAATGTTTTCTTTTTATTTCAGAAAGTGTATGCCCACAGGCGTCAGTGGGCATGAAAACAATCAGTTACAGAGGCAGACATTTATGCAGTCAGCCCATCTATAAATCAGTTTATTTAAGTATTCCCCTGGGGTATAAAGGTTGTGAGGTACTAAGACGTGGTAGTGAAAGTGCTTGAACTACATAGTATCTACAGTTAATTATCTACTCTGTGTGGAAATCAAAACTTCTTGAATTTGACATACATTCAATAAAAAATATGCAAGCCTACAATTTCATGTGCAAACAGAAACTTTCTTTGTTGCCTGAACAGTTTTTCAGCGAGTGTCTACATTACATATCTTTATGCTGCTCTGCTATGTATTGACTACTTCCACTGTTTTCCTCTAGCTTAGTTGAACAGTGATTTTTGTCTGGTACTCGTTTGTGTCTATTAGCCCCACAGTGAGAGAATTTGTTACCTCCAAAGAGCCTTAGCAATTTCAAGATTCTTTTGCTTGGTCAGAAATCCACCTTGAGCAATAACAATAGAAATGAAAGCTTTCTCTCATGCTTATTTTTCTTTCACTGCAGAGATAGGTACTGTAATTTACATTATGTGTACTTGCAAACAAGATTTGAAGTTTTGTGGAGCATTTACTTAGGCATACGCTTTCATGACCTGTGAACCTAGAGTTTTCTATGCAGTGTCTTAATATAAGGCAACTGTTAGTTGACAGAGCTTGGTCACACTGAAAAAGGAATCTTTTCCAAAATAGCTTTTTGCCAAAGACACTCTGCATATGCCCTATCTCAGTGGGAGATACTGTCTTTCACAGAGAAATACGTTGATCTCAGAGAGACATGTTGATTCCATCCGTGCGTAGAAGTAGCTGGAGCGGCTTGAAGAAAAGGTCCTGGGATTCCTGAAGGATGCCAAGTTGAACATTTCTAGTCAGCAGTGTGCCCTTGTGGCAAAGAAGTTTAACAGTGTCCTCGGATGCAATAGAAATGTTGCCAACAGGTCAAGGCAGGCTATCTTCCTTTTGCTCTGCTCTGGTGAGACCTCAGATGACAGACATAGGTCCAGTTCTGTTCTCTTTAGTTCTGGAGAAACCTGGACATGTTGGAGCCAATCCAGAAAAACACAAATAAGATGGCTAAGGGACTGGAGTATCTGATGTGGAAAGGAGGAGGCTGAGAGAGCTGAGAAGTAAGGCTCAGAAGTAGAAGGAAAAGGCTCGGGATGGCCTTATCAGTGTGAATCAGTACCTGAAGGAAGACTGCAATGAGGATGGATCCGAGCTCTTTTCAGTGGGGCTCAGTGTGAGGACAAGAGGCAGTGGGTGCAAACCAGAACGGAAACGTTTCTGTCTGAACATCAAAAAACACTTTTTACTGTGCAAGTGACAGAGCACTGGCATAGACTGCAAAGAGGGGTTGTGGAAATCTTCAAAAGCCACCTGGATGTGAACAAATGACTGCGCGTGGCTGTGGTTAAGGGATTGGGCAGGGTGTCATCCAGAGATGCTTCCAGGTTCAAACTTTCTGTGATTCTGAGATGGTTTGATGTGCAGAGACCATTCCATATTCAGTGATAGCTTACCAAAATAATACATATATATGTATTACTTTTTCACTGTAAAATGAACTAATTTTACCAACCCACTATACTTAACAAGAAACAGCTGGCTGTAGACTTTGGTTGCTGATAACTTAAACTGTATTTTAACAAGCAACTGAGATACAACAGGCGTAGTATCACATTACCCATCTGCAAAGAGCCTGATGAGTTTGTAGTGACCCAGATTGATTTATTTTTAAGAATTATTTTCAGGTGGATGTTCAGCTGAAGAATAAAACTGAAGCAAGCAAGCACAACATTTTGTTAAAAAAGAAGTAACTTTATTTAATTCCGTTATTATACCACCTACTGTTGATCTTGTTATTTTGCTTATGAATTACGTTGCTAAACAGATTAATTTTTAATCATTATCTTGTTTCTGTGCAGATTTACTGTACTTTTCAAGATAAGCTTTTTGCTAGTAGTTACAGCACGTTACTGTGTGGAGAAAGGTGCTCGGGCTAAGTTGTTTTCATACACAGCACTCTAAATTGTTTCAAAAAATAGGGGAGGAATTACTTTTTTTAAAGTATGTATATGTTAAAGTTACATACACATATTCTCTTTTACAGAATTCCTTTTCAGATAAAAAATGAAGACAACGTCTTGGAATACTTTGGGGTGTAAAAGGACAATGCTCACGTCCAAATTAAGGGGAAATAACTCATTTGCTACCTTAATTTCAATAACCATCCTAAAGCTGTCTAGTAAAATTGGTTACAGTGTAGGTTGTGCTCTGGGGGACATATGCAACATAAAGTAAGTAGAGGGAGATTTGCTTGTTGCTTCTGGTTCTCCTGGGAAGTAGGCAGCAGCGTTAAGTGGGACAGCTGAATAACGTTTAACAGCTTTATTTCAAATGCTTTTAATATTCATTCTTTCTTCTCCTTGCACACCTTCTGAGATAATAAAAATTCAAAATTACTTCAGTATAAATGGCTTCTTGCTTAAATGTGGCTAGTCCTCATTATTAAGTATTGCAGTGCCGTATTTTTAAGACCTCTGTGTATTTTTGTTTTCCTTGTCATGTTAATTGCTTTCAGAAAAAAAGAAGGAAAGAAAAAAGGAAAAAAAAAGAAAGAAACCAGGCTGTTCTTTGTTTGTTGCTTCTCTGGCTCTGGAGGTGTACTCTGCAGTCATGCAGCTCTCAAATAAAGCTGGTAGTTCACTGGTTGTTGAAGCAGTGAGATGAGGAAAGGGCAAATAAATGGCAAATACACACAGTGCACACAGCTTGTGTGCACTAAAAGTTAAAGCAAAGCTGCTGTAATAATAAGCCTCAAGGTAGCCTGCAATTAGTAAGCTATTGGTACATGCTTAATACTGTTGACAACACAAAAAAGTACATTAATAGCTTTATTAGTAATTCACAGTCCACTTTCACTTCCTCATTTGGAGACTAAGATTTACTGAACACATGATCTAGTCTACAGTGCAGTTCACAACAGGTTAAAACGAAGTTGTTACAAAGGGATTTTTGGAATGGTCTCTCTCTGCTCATTCTCTTAAAATCTCTTAAAATCAATGCATAAAAACCCAAAAACCAAAAAACAACAACAGAACAGATCAATGTTCTGTTATATAGGGGCTTGCATGTGACCTGTAAGCTGAGACATGAATGCAAATTAAGTTTCCATAGGTTCAGGAAAGGGGTGAGCAGAAGTAGCACACGTGTGTTTTGACAATAGCGATAAAGGGAAGATTGGTTAAGAGCAGCCAAAGAGATAAACAATGCGTAATTTTGACTCATTTGCAGTATATTTTATTTTAAAAGGAGTCCTCCTATAATTTTGATGCAATGAGCAAAATACAGAAAGCAGTTAAGAAAATTATCAGATAATATGAGACACTTTACAATATCTACCTACTTCTGCTTTATTGAAGGTGGATATTCCCTTTGGAAGGGACAGAGCATCATACTTTGAGACTGTATAGACCTGCATTTTAAATGCTTAAACACTTAAGTTTGTGTTTGGGGCAACTTTATTAATTAAAATAAAGACCAAAAATGCCTTGAATGAATATCCAGATGCAGTTTGCTCATTCTTTGTGACAAAAGTTAAAAAGGTTGTATTCAACCATTATTTAAACACAACATGAAAGTTAATTGGAAGTTGCTGTACCATTTGTATTTCTCCTTAACACTCTCTCTTCAGATGAGGCAAAAAGATCTTGCATATTGACCTCTTTCATGCATTTTTCACTCCTTCTCTTCAGACATTTATAGGTCTTGCTTACATCTTGTGTACCTGTTAGGGCTGGGAATGTGGCAATATTTATCATACTTTTCACTCTGCTGTCACATGAAGAAATACGTGTGCTGAAGAACATGCTGAAATCTCTGCCTCGATCTGACTTCTCACTTCTG